CTTTTCTTTGATTCTGGACTGCTGAGAGAAAACCCGTACAGAACTACAAAAAATATGGTTCACATAGGACTCAAACCTGACACCTCTGCACCTATACCAATCGAGCAAACCACCACGACAAGCCTTTATTGGTGTCTACCGAAGTTTTTGTCTTTTTTTTTTTTAACTTTCTCGTATTCTCAAATTCAAATTTTATAACTAAACTTATGAACAAGTGCAGTTAAATTTTTTGAATTATTCAAAACAAACTCGAATGAAGAAACGACTAAAACAAAAGTTGTATATCTCAATGAGTTTTACAACTTTGTTATTTTTGACTTTTTTATTTAAAGCCAATTAATATCCTAAAATTATGTTTGAAGATCTCATATTTTGAATTTTGAATTTCAAATTGTTCAAAAAAAGTTGGCTAGTAAAATGACCAGAACAAAAGTTGTAGATCTTAATGATTTCTACAACTTTGTTGTTGACATTTTGAGTTTGAAATAATTTAGTATCTCAAAATTTTATTCTATCTTCTCAAATTTTGAAATTTCAAATTATTCAAACAAAGTCGGATAGAGAAATGACCAGAATAAAAATTGTAGATCTCAATGAGTTCTACAACTTTGTTGTATACAACTTTTTCATTTGAAATCATTTGCTACCCAAATTTTATGTTTGAATTTCTCATATTTTGAAATTCAAACTTAGAATTGTTCAAACAAATTCAGATGGAAAAATGATCAAAACAAAAGTTATAGATCTCGATGAGTTGTATAATTCTGTTTTTGCTGACTTTTCCATTTGAAATAATGTACTATCTTAAAATTATGTTTGAAGTTCTTGTATTTTGAAATTCAAATTTTAAATTGTTTAAACAAAGTCGGATGGAGAATTTAAAAAAATTAATGTTGTAGATCTCGATGAATTCTACAAATTTGGTTTTCACAACTTTTAAATTTGAATCTATTTATTATTCCAAAATTTGATTCGAAGTTCTCATATTTCAAATTCAAATTTTCAGATTTTTAGGCTAAATTCTAGGTTTTTAGGCTCCCAACCCGAACTTGGGCCTCAATTTCGCTTTTGGGCCACTAAAACCCGTAGGCGTGTTAAGGCCGTGTATGATCTGAGCCCCTGATCTGAATCGAACGGCCAAAGTTCGTCTCAGCCTAAACAAAACCCAGCTCCAGCCGTCGGCCCCCCCAAACCCCAACCCGAAACAAACCCATCGCTCTCTCTCTTTCCTAGCTCCCGCTCGCCCTCTCTTTCCCAGATCTAGTGCGCTCTTGGCGACCTCCGGCGACGACGCGCGCTGCGACCTCCCGGCTCTGCCCGATGAGGGTGCACTGCACCAAAGCGTGCCAGCGGCCGAAACTGGCGGCCCGTCCGATCCCGTCTGGCGGCTACTGGTTGAGCCCACAGTGATGTCGTCCGATCTGCATGGGTTAGAGCTCCTCCCTCCAACGACGGCGAGGTACACATTCCTTTAGATCCGGTCCTCTCCTTCCACCCTTGGCACATACATACGTCTGATTTGGTTATTGGCGTGTCGATTTGGTGTTCTCTAGTGGTGGTATGCCGGTAGTTCAGATCCGTCAAGGAGGGCGCAGGATCCGGCGTAGGAGGGCGATGCTGGCCCCTTTAGGCGCTGGCGCGTGGCGGCAGCCCTATGGCCATGGCACGGGCTCGTGCGTGCACAGGGGCGATGACCCCATGGCTGCCCTCGTGCGTGCACAGGTGCGGCCACAGCTATAGCGTCTGCAGGTGTAGTTAGAGGGTGGATTCAGTGAGGTTACTCCGGGTACCAATGGATTTCGAGTGTCTCCTGTACGCAGGACAATCTGTGTGTTCCTTGCCCTATTGTTTTCTAGTGTCTTTAATTCTTTACTCTGACTTGGCAAATAGGTGCATGTCAGTGCAGTGAGCACATACTGTGATGGTTGTACTGACCCAGTGTGGCCTGCAGCGTCGAATCAAACTCTACTGCATCTACGTCGTAGGGTAAGCTTGATTTCCATGTGCTGTGGTTAGTGCTCACTTGAATAAATATACGATATACTGTGTTATGCTTGGTTAACTTAAATAGTTTTTGCTCCAAAATATAAATATATGAAACTGATAAGAGGACTATAGTTATCTATTTAACTTAAATATTTTTTGCTATGTTTGATTTATTGCTGTTTGTGTAGTAGGTCTTGCATATCTGCTGTTAAGTTGAGTTTCAGTATAGTTTAAGTCTCGCATATCTGATGTAGCTGTTATGTTTCCTGTAGTAGGTCAGTGCATCAACTGTTTGTAGAAATGCCTACCTGGGAGGAAAATGATTATGCCGAGCTAGGAGGAAAAAGAATTTGTCTTTGAATTTTAGTAATTGATACCCTATAATGGTATATTTATTAAATAGATTATATATTGCAGCCCTAGTGATTGCAAAGTATTTTGCCAAATAATGCCAAATAAAGTGGCTGTTTAACAATATCACGTTCTTACTGCAACCAATGGAGCAGCTAGCACTGCTGATGGAGTGCTGATTGACAGTTTCTTTCACAGCAGCAGTTAATTCTTTGATTCTTTCATTTGCTAGCGGGTCCATCAGTAATGCTTCGATTCTTGTATCTGGTAGCAGGTCCATCCGAGTACTGTTGTCGATTGTGTCGTGACCGACTGCTTTTGTTAGTCTAAAGATATTTGTACCATATCTTTTTCAATTTTGACAGAAAATGGTTGAAACTTGTTCTCTTGTAGTGGAAAGAAGAGAAAGAAATGAAAAGAGACCCATACAAGGATGATCAACTCTTAGAGCTCGTCAGCGACCTTTGTAACTTCATATTGGACCAGATTGTACATGTCAAAGGCACCTACCATGACCGAGATTTTGACTTAGGTAGAAATCATCAGTACCAACACCTTCATGAGACTGAAAGACTAGCTCTAGGCCGTTGATAACAATGTGTATGGAATTTGACATTGATCTTACTTTGTGGGACGGTTTGGATTTGTGGAACGAATTAGACTTGTGAATTATGTCTATTTAATGATGGATTATATACATTCTTGTGAATTGGACTTGTAATGGTAGTTTATATAATGCTCTTGTGCTTATGGTCAGATTTGAATTATATATGTTCTGATCAGATTTGAATTATATATGCATATACATACATACACACACACACACACACACACACATATATATATATATATATATATATATATATATATATATATATATATATATATATATATATATATATACAGCTGGCCATAGAATAACTTATTCTATAGCCACCTTGATTTACGATAATGTTTGTATCAATTTACGATAACATGAATATGCATTTACGATACTCGTGTTACTACAACTCACGGTGATATTTACCATAATGTTCTAGTAAATCACTTAGTAAGGAGTTACTGTAATCTCGTAAATTAGAATAGTAATTATCATAATTCAAAGTGGTCACAGAATACGTTATTCTATGGCCAGCTGCAGAACAGTAGTTCTATATATATATATATATATATATGTGTGTGTTCTGGTTGAATTTGAATTTTTTTTTACGGAAAAATATACTGTAGGGGCGGTTCTAGACTGAACCGCCCCTACAAACAGGTATTATAGGGACGGCTGGTACTATAACCGCCCCTATAAATCGATTTGTAGGGACGGCTGTCTACAAATCGATTTGTAAGGACGGTCTGGGAACTGTCCCTACAAATGCATGATTTGTAGAGACGGTATGGTAGAGGCGGCTGGCCGAGCTGCCTCTACAAAGCCTCGCCAACCGCCCCTAGAAACCATTCCTGTAGTGTATTGACCTTGCATTGCTCTAAACTGTTGTACTCCGTAGTTGCAAATAGGATAGGGCCTAGTAATGGAAACTGTGCCTTAAGATTATTTAATGTCTTATAGGAATCCCCTTTGATGGTAATCACCACTGAAATGAAAAACTGTGTTCATTCTTGAGCGCAGTTTGAGTCATTTGATTGCATAACACTGAACTGAAGAACCGAATAGATTGATCCTTAAAAATATTTGTTATGGTTGTTGCCTTATTGGTCACTTTGACTCAATGCAAAGAAAGCAGTGGAAAACTCATGGCATTTGTAGGAATTGTATTGTATTGTATGCAAATCATTTTGCTAGTCTAGTGTTCAGCTGGCTGTTTTCTGGATACAGTGATACACTGATATAGATACATGTGTATTCATTTTCTTGCTAAAGAATTTGGTAGATTCTTGTGTATCTAGCCTTTTTAGTCTGCTACTGCACAGCCCACTGAGTAGATCTAGCTTTGCTCATTGTTTTTTTTTCTGGTGCTGGTTGAGTGTTTTTTTTTTATCGAATTAGTGGCCAACAGATTGCTTTAGTTATGAGATGTAATGCGTTAGTAACATCAGAGTCTCATTGTTTATATATTTCAGTTGCTACTCTATGTATTTAGCTTTTTTACTACAATCTGTCACTTCTTTGTCTACCTCACCCTGTATTCGTGACTACTGTCAATGTGTTTAAAGAAGGGAGTAATGGTAGTTTTCTTGATCTATAAGGTTCTTAATGTTTGTGCCCACTCAACCTAAGTAAGCATTATAATTTGATGCGAAGGGTGTACTTGCAAGGTTAATTTTGATGTGCTAAGATACAACCATGATTAATCAATGCAGCAGTGAGACATCCATTTGTTTTAGCACAAACTAATTGTGTGTACAGATATTTTTCTTTGAACAAATAGAAATCTTGCATTTGAATTGGAAACTAGCCTCAAACTGCAAGTGTTCTTATACGTTGTTTCTTGCATGTTTATGTGGACTTGTGTCCTCTGTAGTTGTACTAGTTATGTTTTCGCTTCTTAATCATTAGTGCATTTTCAAATTGATCAACGGGTTTACTGTGCTGGTTTCATGCCTGATTGACAGGCAGCTGCCAACTCCAGTGCTCTTTTCTTGACAGCGGCTGCACAGAACCTGTTGTGTCTGAAGTTAGCAGAGGAGATTGGCGTTAATATCACAAACCAATGGATTACTTGGTTCCAGGCTGCTTGCGTGCCAGCACTTCTTGGGCTTTTAGTGACTCCTTATTTGATTTACAAAATATTCCCCCTGAAATAAAGGACACTCCTGAAGCCCAAGCATTAGCTGCCGAGAAACTAAAGAACATGGGTCGAGTAACAAAAAATGAATGGATCATGATTGCAACGATGCTTCTTGCAGTCTCACTATGGATTTTTGGGTAAGATTTTTCTTTTTAAAGAGGATTTTCCCCTTGAATTGACTTGCAATCTGAAGCTAAACTTTCAGACTTTCAGTAACTGAATTTTGTATTTAGTTTCACTGTTTACACTGTTCTTGGAATCACGCAAGTATATATACACACAGCACAAGAGCACAAGTATCTTTCTTGACTGGTGTTTGCTGTAGTTGTCATTGTGACAATGTTCACATCACAGAGCACTGAGCAGCATTGTTCTGTGTGTTTTCCCATGAAAAGTTCCTTTATTAGTCTGTGGTTCCACTCATGGTTGTGGAGACAGCTAAAATATTCTTTTTTTCTTTATGGCCAAGAGTCAATATGGTAATTCAGTTTTCCTTTTTTTTATTTATTGATGAGGAACAAAAAAAGGCTTATCCTGTTTCTAATATTGCAGGCAAACTATTGGCGTATCCAGCGTTGTTGCTGCAATGATTGGACTCTCGATACTTCTTCTGCTTGGAGTGCTGAACTGGGAGGATTGTTTGAATGAGAAGTCTGCATGGGACACCCTAGCTTGGTTTGCTATTTTAGTTGGTTTGGCTGGGCAGCTTACTACCCTCGGGATTGTGTCCTGGATATCTAATTGTGTTGCCAAGGTTCTTCGATCTTTCTCATTGAGCTGGCCTGCAGCATTTGGTGTTCTTCAGGCCTCATACTTCTTTATTCACTATATATTTGCAAGCCAAACTGCACATGTTGGAGCTTTATACTCGGCATTTCTTGCCATGCATTTAGCAGCTGGTGTGCCAGCTCTAATGTCGGCACTTGCTTTGGCATATAATGCAAACCTCTTTGGATCACTGACACACTATAGTAGCGGGCAATCTGCAGTATACTATGGAAGTAATTGTGCTTTTCCACCGCTTCTGTTGAATAGCACATATTTTCCAAGTTTGCTTGCAATCCACCACGTTGGATTGGTACATTCCATACTTGTTTCGAGCCTGGTTTTCAATACCATTTTATAGAGCAGTTAATTAACTGATTAGCTTCTACAGTTCTACTGGTATTGCAATGTGTAGAACAGATTTTGATGCACCATCTTTTCTGTTCTTTTTGTCGATTCAATTTACTAATAGATCCTTTTTCTAGCATCAATTTCTATTTCGCTAGGTATGACAGTGTATTTGATCATGTAAAGTACCTTCAGATTTGTGCACACAACAAAATGATAATTCAAGTGGAGCCTTATAATGAAATGAAAGCACAAGCTGCTAGCTGCGCATAGACATATGAAGAAAATTCTTTGCTTGTTTTATTAGTTAGGTCATCCTTATATTATAAGGGCTTTAATAAAATAAAGCTTTAATATTTGTTCTCTGCTGAATAACCTGATGTTTTCCTTGTGCAGCGGGGTATGTTGGCCTTCCAGATGTATTCAAGCTGGGTTTTATAACAGCCGTAATCAATGCTGTAATTTGGGGAGCTGCTGGTGCATTATGGTGGAAACTGTTGGGTCTTTATTGAGATGAGTCTTGGGGCAGTGTAAGTACGTGAATATCGTATCATATCGTTTTTCCTTCTGAGGTGCCTATGAATGCATAATAACCGAGGAACGCTCGTCTTTAGAAGTTTTTGAGCATTATCAATCTAGACTAGAAAGCAGATGAGTTTTCGTAGGTTGTGAAGACCGGCTTATATATCCTTTATTGATTTGATTGATGTAGCATCATATCTCCTCCCCACAAGGGAAATAAAAAGCATGAGTGACTTTTGAATTTTGATGACCCAAATCTTGTCTTATATTAAATCCATGATGATGAAGATTAAGTGCATGAATGAATATTGATTGATGCGTTAAATCTTGTGTTTTGAGGCCGCGATCGACAGCCTGCTTCCCCAAGCCTGCGTGTACGCATGAACAGAGCCGTAGTTGCCTGGCTGTATACATCAACTCTGTCTGCCCGTTTGTTTGAGCCACAGCCACTGGTCGCGTTGGTTATTAACCAACCTTGTGCTTGTACGCTAGCTAGACTTGTATACAAGCTACAAACAAACAAATGATTGCAAAGCTGCGTGCGATTGGACGGTAAATTGAAGAGTCCAGGTGGAGGAGAGCAAAGCGGCGAGGCAAAGGCGGCCGGCGATGGCAAATGGCAGCGACTGGACTACTCCTATCCTAAAAGAGAAAGGAGTACGTACTAGACTTGGCACATCCGCCCATGTGCACGCGCCGCGCCCAAGGAGGAACGGAGGGGGACCAACACTTGCACAGTTGCACTTGCCAGTGGCCGGTGATGGACTGATGGCGGGCGTCGTCACCACGCGGGCTTGGCGCTCGGGGAAGGGAAGCGAGCGTCGTCTTCTTCCGTTCCGCCCTCGCCGGTGGCCGCGTCCCGTCCACCCCGGCCGGGTTGCCACCCACTTGCACTTGCCACTTGCCAGGAAGGAACAAGGAATCCAACCAAGCAATCGGCCTCGGCCTCGGCCTCAGCACTGGGCAGGCAGACAGACCGCCAAAGCAGAGCAGAGAGAGCAGAGAGAGAGAGAGAGAGAGAGGCGACTGCTGGCGAGCCCACGCGGCAGGCGGCCGCATGGGTCGCCGTTCGGTCGGTGTCGTGTCGGTCTCCCTGGTCCCTGCCACGCCCGCCTCGACCTCCATCTTTCTTTCCCGGTGCCGGCGCGCCCGACCGTGGCCTGTCCTCATCTGCTCTGCTCCTCTTCTGCAGACTGCACCGGTGGTGGATCCATATACTGTACAGTACCTTTAGGGCGTGATTGGTTGCCCCGCTCACACCGTCCGAAGGTTCATCCAGTATCACTGGATGCATTGCGACCGTATTTGTTTTCCCTGCTCACATCTTTTGCCTGCATTGTTTCGTTCATCTGCCCTCCTCCATTCCGTACGTTTCCATCTTCTCAATTTTCATTTCCCTCTCCATACCGGACGGCTTGATTCACACATAGTGTAGGGGCCTATATATCAGACACCCAAAACTTTGATACATGCATGCAACCAAACATGATCTCATCTCGTACTGGACAATCAAACACGACCATTTGTACGAGCTCAACCCTGCTTCTTTGGTCCTGCACAGCCTAACCATCTTGACTTGAGGCTTGCTCTGCAACCAATCACGCCCTTATTATACTGTAAAACCCACTGCATCCTGCTGCTTCAAGGTCAAAACAAGGGTGACCGATCTCATCACGACATCACCCTTGGAGTCGCCGTCCTTACCTGAGTGCACCGAGTGGCGAGAGACTGAGGGGGTGTTTGGTAATTTAGTTGCTCCTAAAATTCATGTCACATTGAATGTTTAGATACTAATAAGGAGCATTAAATATAGATTAATTATAAAACCAATTACATAGATAGAGACTAATTTGCGAGACGAATTTTTTAAGCCTAATTAATCCGTCATTAGCACATGTTTACTGTAGCACCACATTGTCAAATCATGGACTAATTAGGCTTAAAAGATTTGTCTCGCAAATTAGTCACAAGTTGTGCAATTAGTTTCGTAATTAGTCTATATTTAATACTCCATGCATGTGTCAAACATTCGATGTGACATGAATTTTAGGAGGTCCTATAGAAACCAAACAGGCCCTGACTACTACTCTCTTGGTTTTACTGTTGATCTCCACCAAGTTAGCATAACGGTCAATTTGGTTCTTTGATCCGCGCTCTGATCGGGGGTGCCCAACCCAATCATGGTTAGTGGGCCCCCGTCGCACAGCGCTATAATGAGAAAGGTGGGACCGGAGCACTAAGTACGAGGTTCACCGCAGCCGCCATAAAACCCCACCTACATTCCTAACCCTAATCCGATCTAAGAGGGAAGCGCTGAAGCGACGGGAAGCACCGCCACCGTCCTCCTCGACTCGCCGTTGCCCGCGCCGCCACTCTTCGGACCTCACCGCGTCGTCACCGACCCAGGCTGCACCGACATCGTTGCCATGGCGAGCCCCTCAGCCAAGCCCACTGATGGTCAACTACCTCTACACCCCTCGCTCTCTCTCCCTAGTTTCTCTCTCTAGTTCATGTTCTAGGTCGGATCTAGGCTTGTTTATCCTGAATTGAAAAGGACTCACCCACTAGATCTACTCCTAGATGATCCTAAGAATCAACATTGGTATCAGTTGCCTACTAGATGGTAGATCTAGATTGGGGTAGTTTGTTTTTCAGCAAGTAGAAGAAGATGAATCGATTAGTTCAAATCGAGCAGAAACAGTCAAACCCTAACCCTAAAGTAAGAGAGAAGGACGGAGAGGAAAGGACCTACCTGGGTTTTTTCCCCATCGTCGCGCTGGAAGAAAGGGCAGAGCCGTCGACTCGCCGGCGCTCTGCCGCGCCGTGTGCACGAGCACGGGGCTCCAAAGGGCACCACCGCTGTGCCACACGACGGCGACGCGCGCGGCTCCGGCCGCACGCATGCACCGGCGAGGGGTGCCGTAGCGGCACCGCCGTCACTCCGTCGTGGCGCTCCGAGCGAAAGGGGAGGAGAGAAAATGGAGTAGGGTTTCGGGGGAGGCAGACGACCATGGTTTTGATCAGCCGATATGAACGGAGGACCGTCCGATGGCGATCGACGACCGGTAGTTTTCGGGCCACCTTTCGGCCTAGGCGGGACGGCGCTTTCCCAACCCAGGCCCATGTTGCGGCCTGGGTGCGGGGAGCACGGCGTGCAGGGAGGGCTTTTGGGCCGTTGTGGGCTTTCGGGCCAAATGCACAGTGCTGTTTTTCATTTTATTTTTTTAGAAGCGATTTTTTATGAACTATGTTAAGTTTTGACGTTTAAATCTCTGCTCAAATTTAAACCAAATGGATGATTTGTTCAGAGAGTAGTTAAGTACATGGAAATGCTTATGATAATATCATTTTAAGATTATTTTTTCGTGTTTCCGGTGCAAAGTTGATGTTTATTATCTTCTAATTAAATTCGAACCAGCGGGAGAATTTAATTTTAAACAGTAGTTATAGTATTCAGTAAATTATGATATTGTTATTTTCTGACCAACGTTGATAATAGCAATATTATAATTTTTTTATTCATGAGTTTTTTCATGCATTAGTTCTATTTCTGTCCAACGGTGATGTAGAATTAATGTAGAAGCATATTGTATGTTTTTATTTTGACCAACGTTGAATTACGACATGCAATTATTATTTCAACTGTTTCTCACTTTCTTTGACGTTGTTTTAGGCTACAACCCAATAACATTTATCTCGTCCATTCCGCCTCTCAATGGAAGCAACTATAATGTATGGTGAGAGAAGCTTGAGATAGCATTTGCGCTGTCCGACAATGATCTAGCACTTATCTCTCCGTGTCCTACTGAGCCAGTGGACCTGGTGAGGAAAGCAAATGAGACTGATGCAACTTTCGCTACTCGACAGCGTGACCATGCAGAAGTGAGAATGAAGTATGATCTTAATCGTGCGAAGTGGGATAGTTTAAACCGTAAGTGTTTGATGATGATTAAGGGCTCCATTAAGGATCCAATAAGGGGTTCAATCCCAGAATGTACCACCGCCACTGAGTATCTCAAGAAGGTGGAGAGTCAGTTCACTAGCTCTTCAAAGGTTTATGCAAGCACTCTTATTAAGAAGTTAGTCAATGAGAAATACTTTGGTGAAGTGATTAGAGAGCACATATTGAAGATGAGCAACATGGCATCCAAGCTCAAGCCAATGGACTTGGGGCTCAAGGATGAGTTCCAAATTCATTTGGTTTTTGCATTTTTGCCCAAAGAGTATGAGACTTTTGTTGTTAATTACAACTTACAGCTAGATAAGTGGGACATTGAGAAGCTCATTGCCATGTGTGTGCAAGAAGAGGAGAGGTTTAAGAGCTCACATGGTTACTTTGTCAACCATGTGAAGGAAAATAAAAAGAAGAATTTTAACAACAAGAATGCTAAACCACAAGAGAAATCTCAGTGGGACAATAGCTCCTCTTCTAAGTCACAAGGAAAGGCCCCTCAGAAAGATCACCATCAGAAATCCAACTATGTTCAAGTGGATAAGGACACCTACAGATGGTGCCACAAGACTGGACACTACCAGAAAGATTGTCTAGAGTTCTTGAAGCACCTGATCAGAAAAAGGTGAGGAAATTATTATATTTGTAGATGAGTCCTTGTATTTAAGTTATACAAAATTTACTTTGTGAATTGATTCAGGTTCAACTATTCATATTGTAAATTCATTACAGGGATTCTATACGAGAAAAACCCTGCAAAGAGGAGAAAGACACATTAAGGTGGCAATGGAGTTAAAGCTGAAGTAGAAGCCATTAGAGAACTCCCATTAAAATTAAATGATGGCTTTGTACTTAAGCTTACAGATGTCCTTTATGTACCCTCTTTACGTTAAAACTTAATAAGTGTCTCATGTTTAGACGATGTTGGATATGATTGCCATTTTAGTAATGGGCGATGTAAGATAATGTTTAATCATAAGTGTGTTGGTCTTGCTTTCCAACAAGACGAGTTTTATTTGTTATCACATTGTGAGAATA